TTCAAAACCCAACTTAAATATTCCCTCGGCCAGGAAGCCCCACCTGACAGCTGTAGGAGATTCTGTTCCCTGCTGAAATCGCTGAGACTAATCCCAGCAGGTGGGGAAGGTGTTTGAGAGAACTGGACCTCGGTTCTGGTGTGGCCATGCTGAATACTCTCCGGCCAGTCATGGTCCCCCTACAGATTCAACTTAAAAATAGTACCAGTTAGATGTTTGGACTCTATTTGTCCTAGATTTTCCTTCTTCTCCCAAAGCCTGGTCTAAGAAAAAGTCTGTGGAAGCCCATTAGTGCACATACATTTCTACCAGATGTCTAAGAATTACTGTTAATTCTGTTGTTAATGTGGTTGTGTTAAAAAGAGGACCTTTTATAAATCCATAAGGAAATATTTATGAGTGAAATGATATTAGCTTTAAAAAGTCCACTGAGAAGGTGGATGGATGAAACAAGAATAATACAAATGTCGATAAATATTGAAGAAGGGTGGCACAGGTACATAGATTCATTATAATCTCTTCTTTAGCATTTGTGTGAAATTTTCCTAGTAAAATTTTAATTAAAAAGGAAAGGAATTTAAAAAGGATATACAAAGAAAATATCAAGAAGAAAGCAGGTGTAATGATATTAGTATTAGACAATATAGATTTCAAAGCAAAGAATATTAACAGGGATATTTCATATTTTAAAAAGATGTAGCTACCAAGAGTATACAACACTTCTAACATTTATCTAACAATATATTTCTGAAATGTATACAGCAAAAACTAATACAACGGAAATTTTTAGGAATTTACAATCACAGTAACAAATGTTAACTGTCATAAGTTTGATCAAATTCCATTTTATTGATTGCCTTCACATCTAGTTTAGTTTGGTCAATTTAGAGGCCAGCATGAATAGCATCTGGGTGTTTCCCACTAGGCACCCCCAACACCTCCTGACTCCCTCTTATGGTAACCTAGATACCTACCTATGGGGTGGCTAGGCCACAGGCTGGGTCTTCATGTTGCCCCACCCAAAACCCTGAGTGTGCTGTGCTGATAAGACCGCTACACAGATGACCCCACTCCCATAAAAAAAGCTGTTATGCTTACAGTTTATTACAGTGAAAGGATACACATTAAAATCAACAAAGGAGAAAGGCATCAACAGCAGAAGCCAGGAAACTAGGTGCAAGCTGCCAGCTGTTCTCTCACAATGGAGTTGTATGGACAGTGCTTAATTCTCCCAGAAATGATGCATGGTAACATATACAAAATACTGCCAACTAGGGAAACTTAGCCAAGCCTTATGGTCCAGGGTTTTTAATACGGATCAGTCACATAGGCGTGGAGTGCCTGCATGGCTGACCTTAGTTACTCAGACTCCAGTCTCTCCAGAGGCCCCCATCATAAATCACATAGTTAGCATAAACTATCTGGGATGGCCTAAAGCCCCAGGTAAACAAATACACCCTTATTTGGCAAGATATTACAAGAACTTAAAGGTTCTATCCCAGGATCTGGGCAAGGGCCAAACCTTTCTTTTGAATGCACAGGGTTTGAACAATATATGCTTACTTACTTAATCCTTTAGTGCACACATATGATACCAATTTAGAGTTAAAGGCAACTAAAATAAAAACATACATATTAAGGACTATATAAAATTTATATATAGCCATGCAATACAATTAAATAAAAAATAAAGCAAGGGATGGATGACTTCAGGATTCAGGATGATGGTTCCCTTGGGTAGGAGAAGCCAGGGATGGGATGAGGAACTTAAAGAGAAGATG